CCTGTGGCCTAGCATCTTGCTGCAGAGCTTTCCTGGTTCCAGGGGACCCCATCATCCAGTGTCCGGCCGCAACTCTCGGAGAGGTTCCTTCTCAGCTGCTCACCACTCTGCCACCCTGCCTGGAAGTTCTCTTTTGGGAAACTTTGAATTTCTCAGAATTAAAGAATTTCTGAAATGTGAAGGTTACAGACCCTTTGACTGTTATATAATTTTGTTATCTACATACTTCCAAAATAATTTAAAATTTTAAATAATTTCATTTATTACACTGCAGTGTTGTTGTTTTTTTTTGGGGGGGGGTTGGCAGAACTGGGGATTGAACTCAGGCCCTTGCACTTGCCAGGTAAGCGCTTATTCTACTGAGCCATCTCCCCAGCCCCTACACTTCAGTATGAACAGTACTTTCCAATATTTAGGGAAATATTAACTTAGACACTATACACATTCACTGCAAAAATCACTTTTTATTACGTTGATAGTTCCCACTTGCCATTAGAGGCAACCACACTCAGAGAAAGCAGCCAGGACTGTGACGGCAGGAGCCAACGGCAATGCCGCTTCACACGGTATCCAGCATCTTCCAGAGGACATTAAGAAGCTCGCCATATGCACTCGGGCAGTTTGCAAGAGCTACTGGTCAGACCGTAACACAAGCTCCCCCTACCAGTGAGCATCCCTGCAGCACGAGGGGCAACGCTGGGAGTCAGTGAGCTACAAAGCTGACTTGTGCGCAGGGCTCTTGGCACTGTCCTACGCTGCAGTTTCTACTGCTGAGAAACCCGAGGTTCATGTTTTTTCTCCTGTAGTCCCAAAAGCTCTGTTCTGAGTTCTCCAGGCTTTGGTGGAGTTTCAGGTATCGTCTACAAAAGAAACAGAAACGAAACAAAAAACTAAGATGCTAGTGCCCTAAGACTGGCACTCAGTCTTCCTGAGAGCCTATGGCTGACCAAAAGCCCATCACAGCCCGGGTTTGGGAGCCTACCCTCCCGGCGGGCGCTGGGGAAGCGCAGCGGCGTATGCAGGGCAGCCGGCAGTTCCGCCTGCCAGGAAGTGCCTGCTTTGCATACGGAGCAGTGAGCAAAAACTGCACAGCCTGGTCTTCAAGGAAGGTGCACAAGAGAGACGACTCTTCTTTGTAGTCATTTTATTGAAATATAATTTCCACACTGCACCATTTTCCCATTTTCAGTGTACAATGCAGAGCTGATTGTGGAGTTACAGGCCTGTAATTCCAGACACTGCGAGGCTGAAGCAGGAGGATTCTAAATTCACAGCCAGCCTGGACGTCCTGGAGACTTCATGAGACCCTGTCTCAGTATAAGACACAGATATGGAGCTGAAGATGGAACCCAGTATGAAGGATGTGGGTTCATTCTCAGTACTGCCAAAAAAAAGCATCCCTTTCAGGGCTGGGGACATAGCTCAGTGGCAGAGTGCTTGTTAAGTGACCGTGAAGTCCTGGGCTTGATCCCAAGCACCACACACAAGAAAAGCGCACAACTCAATGGTTGTTAGCATGATGCGTTCACGGAGCTGGGAGTCATTACAATACATTTCAGAACATTTTCACCAGCCCAGAAAGGAATCCCACCCCCATTAGCCTAACTCCATTCAGCCCTCCCTGCCGCCCCAGAACCTCGTCTCCACAGATTCATCTGTTCTGGGCATTGCTTTCTTTTGTTTTGTTTTTGCTCTAGACAGGTCTCAGCGAGTAGCCCAGGCTATCCGTGAGCTCCCCGAGCCCTCCTGCCTCAGCCCCGAGTGCTGGCGTTTCGAGCACGTGCACACCCGGCGTTCTGGTGTCTCACAGAAAGGGCAGCGTACAGTGTGTGGTCCTCTGTGACCAGGCTCTCTCCTGTAGCTTAATGTTTTTGAGGCTCAGCCGTGCTGCCACATGTCCCCATGCGTGTAAGTTCTTTCCCTGGCATAGGCACACCATGCTTTATTTATGCATTCATCAGCTAATGGGCGTCTGGATTATTTGAACCTTTTGGCTCCACCTTTATGTATAAACTTTCGGTAAGACACAGGTTTTGGTGGGGGTCAGGTACAAGGCTACAAGTGGAACTGCTGGACCCCACGCGATGCACAGGTGGCACCGCGGGCTTCCCACGGCAGCCACGCCTCCCTTCACTCCCAGCAGCGGCTCCAGTGCCTCCCTGTGTCTGACAGCTTTGCTGCTTGCTCTGCTGCAGCCACAACAGCGGGCAGGAAGTGTACCGCCCAGCGGCTTTGATTCCCTCTTCTCCGACGCCCTCTGATGCCAAGCGTCCTTTCCTGCGCTTATCGGCTGAGATGGTGATTTCTGAACAAGGACGGGCAGGAAGATGAGGGGGGCGTCTGTGCAGCTCCCCCAGAGTGCAGAAGCACAGGTAGAGACGCACACACAGGGCTGCACCTTCATCCCAGGGAAAGCAAGACTGACTGTCTTGTGTCCCTCAAGAAGCAGGAGAGGCCGAGGAAGGGCACCAGGTGTCTGGTGCCTCTAGGTGGGAAGACCCTGGAGAGTTCTTTGAAGAACGACTTGACCTGAGCCCCGTGAGGCGGCACATGTCTGTGTTCCCAGCACTCGGGAGGCTGAGGCAGGAGGATTGCCACAAATTCAAGGCCAGCCTGGGCTACATAATAAGTTCAAAGCAGCCTGAACTACAGAGCAAGCCCCTGCCTCAAACAAAGGGGGCGTGGTGCTTGCTGAGAAGGCAACGGAGGAAGGAGAGAGCAGAGGGCTAAAGGCGGAGGAGAAAGGAGACTGGCAGTGGCCTGCCCTGCGCAGCTGTAGAGGCAGGACACGCGGCCCTCACGCCAGCATCTGGTTCGGATGAACCCCATGGGCGCCCGGTGTGCGGTGAGAGCATCTGATGGCACCAGAGGTTCAGCCTAAGCGAGCTGGAAGAGCAGAGCCCCGGCCTAGGCTCCCAGGACAGCGGGAAACAGGCACCCTTCACAGCCGCCACAGCCGCCTCAGCCCTGAGCTCCACCCAAACCTTAGCTGTCAGACTACAAGGTTTTGTTACAAGCAAGAGCTGGAGCAGCAACAGGTGGGACAATTCCAAAGACCGGGGAAAGAACTGAAATTCTTTCTTTTTTGCAGAACTGGGGATGGAACTCGGGCCCTTGCGCTTGCCAGGCAGGCACTTATTCTACTGAGCTATCTCTCCAGCCCTCCATACGGGGATTGAACTCAGGACCTTGAGCTTGCCAGGCAGGCACTTAGGCAGCTATCTCCTGGCCCTAGAACTGAAATTCTTTTTTTACAGGAATAAGTTTTCTTTATTAGTCTGTTTGCAATACATAATAATTACATTCATCTTGGAGAATGGGCACATGCACATATTGTATCTTGATCATTTGAACTTCGCTTTATCTCCAGAATCTCCATGGTTCTTACCATCTCTTTTATTTTGCTCTATAAATTATTTATATTTTGGGTCTCTCATTGGAGAAACTATGTGACACTTAGCCTTCTGTGTCTGATTTATTCTTTCAACGTGAGAAAAGCATGTGGCACCCTTGCCTGGCCTCCCCTCCTGGCCTTTAAACGACCAGAGAGGCCCAGTCAGGCAGAGGGGGCCTGGACCTCCAGATGCCCGTTCTGCAGGCTGGGCATTCATTATGATGGGAGTTGAAGCAATAAGGCTCAGATGTGATGCCTTCCTTCCTTTGTAAGAAGTACTTAGGGCTGGCTGGGCCTTCTGCCACAGCGACCAGCAAAGAACAGTAGCCATGGCCCTCCGCTGTCCCACGGCCGTGGGCCTCGACGAGGGCCACAAGGTGATTAAGAATGTGAGCAAACCGAGGCACAGCCGCCTCACCAAACACCAAGTTTGTGCGGGACATGATCCCCAAGCTGTGCGGCTTCAGCCTCTATGAGTGCAGTGCCATGGAGCTGCGCTGGGTCTCCAAGGACAAACGTACCCTCAAGTTCATCAAGGGTGGGGATGCACATCCACGCCAAGAGGAAGCGTGAGTTGCTGAGCAACGTGCTGGCCGCCATGAGGAAGGCAGCTGCCAAGAAGGACTGAGCCCCTCTGGAATAAAGCTTTGCAGAAAGTTAAAAAGAAAGAAAGAAAGAAGAAGAATAAGTACTTAGGGCCGGCCAGATAGCTTAGTGGATTAAAGCACTTGCTTAAGCAGACACAGGGGTCGGGGTTCACTCCCCAGTGTGCCAAGCCAGCCCCGCCCCCAGGTCTTACTGAGAAGACTGGGCATGGTGGTACACACCCATAAGCCCTGTACTTGGGAAGCTGACAACAGGATGATCACTATGATGTGTACAGCGAGACCCTGTACCAAATAAAAAAAAAAAAAAAAAAAAAAGTGCTGGTGCCTCTGCTTTCATGAGCAAATTAAATGAACTATACTTCTTTTTTAAATATATATTTTTAATCTTTATTTATTTGGTACAGGGTCTCCCTACACAGCTCAGAGTTGTAGTGGCCCTCAGCCTCCCCAGCGCTGGGATTACAGGTGCACCACCACGCCCGGTTTCAGGGGCCAGCATGGCATGTGGTAGGTGGCAGTGATCAAATCTGGGTCCTTGCCCTTGCCAGTCAGGTGCTTAGACTGCTGAGCTCTCTCTCCAGCCCCTAAATAAACTATATTTCTAAGGAAAGTTCTTGTCACTCTGGGTCACCACTAAATGTCCCTGATGCTTCACTCCAGCGCTTAAAAGAGAAATAGCGCCAAGCAGTAAGCAGCAGCTTTGGCAGCCCAGAGAGGCTGTACAAAGACTACAACCACTTAATGCCAATGGGGGTGAGCAAGCGATGCCTGGAACTCATATACCATACGGGACATCTGCATCAGGAAGTATGGTGGGCGAGGGGGCACGAGGGTGTCTAGGGGTGCCCCGCCCTGGGGCCAATCCCTGGGTCACAAAGGCACAAAACAAAAACTACACAATGGTCTTAAAGGATACCACGGATACACGCAAATGTTTATTTACGCAGCTGTTCACAAAACAGGCAAGTGGCATCCAGATTTGTACGTGAACTATTTATGTGGGAGAAAAATACTCCGTGTATGTGTGCGTGTGTGTTCACACGCGCGCGCGTTCTGAACCTGCTTCCTCACTTGACAACAGGTTTAAACACCTCCACATTGCGGTGAAAATTAACTGAGATGAATAATTCCAGCACATCGCTGGTTCTGCCTACACGTCACCTGCCCGGGCGGAGTCCCGCAGAACGCGCCCGCGGGGCGACACCGGCCGGGCGACCCACTCCTGCACTTCGCGCCCCGCCCCCGCAACCTCCAGGTCCTAGCTCCGCGCGCTCCCCCGCACGGAGCCCGATTTCTCTCTCCCTAAACGCCTCTGCTCCCCGCACACAGCCACCGGCCCCCGGGGCCCGGCCAAGCGCTTTCCTAAGGGACTGGCACAGAAAAACGAGCCGACTGACGCGGCTCTCCGCGGGGTTTGCATTCCAGAGCAAAGACCAAGCAAAGCGGCTGCGCGGCGGCCCGCGCTCTTCGGCGCCGAGGACGGCGTCCGCCGCAGGGCCGAAGTCACAGCCAGAGCCGCACGCCGCGCGCCGCGCCCGGCCTCGCAGGGAGCCACTTCCGGCCCAGCCCGGAAGTCGGGAAAGGGAGCCAAGGGCGGCCCGGAGGGAACTACGGCTGGCACAGCTCAAGGGCCGCTCTGAGGCTGGGCTAGGCCAGCTGAGTGGGAGCCGCTCCCACGACACCGACGCGGCTCAGCCGCACGGCGGGAACGGCAAGGGCGGGGGCCGGGGGCAGCGAGGCCGCACCGCGGCGACCCGCGAGGCCGCCCCGGCCGCCGTGACCTGGCCCGGGCCCGCTCCACTCACCAGGTCCGGGCGGTAGTACCTGTGCACCACCTCGGCGCCCGCCAACATGGCCAGAAGGCTGGCCGCGAACATCTTCAGGTAGGTGGGCCAGGACACGCCCGCGGGCATGGTGGGGCCGCGGGAGCCAGCGGGAGAGGGAGGGTCCTCAGCTGCACCGGACCGCGAGAGCGAGGCGCTCGTGCCCTGACGGAGGGAAATGCTTGCGTACCGCGGCGGGCGGCGCAGGCGCACTCCCCTGGCCGGGCGGAAGTGGGGCTGGGGCTGGGGCTGGAGCCAAGGTCGGCTTCCGTCCAATTTTCACACCCCAGCCAGCCCCTCGTCGCTATTCCACCCTGTGCCGGGGCTTCCTTGGAAGGTGGGTTGTCACGGGCTCGAGTCTCGGGTGCTGCATCCGCTTGTCCGGTCGCGCACACAGAGGAAACCTTGCGCCTTTGCCACTCTTAGGGTGGAGTTTGACACTTAAGTGAGGTCACCCTGCGGAGAGCGAAGCTTAAAGCACGCACCTTCCTTGATCTTGGCGTCCTGTTATCTCGAATAGCGCCACGCCCAGACAGCCGCGCACTGGGCGATGCTGCCGCTGGAGAAGAGGACGCCAGACGTGGACATGATTAAGTACGTGGACTTTTATGCAGCGGGATGAGTTTTGTTCAGCAAGAAGATAGTTCAAGAACCGGCCAGATAGCTCACCGGATTAAATCCCCGGCGTATCATGCCGGCCCCGCCCCCGGGGCACGCTGAGTCCTCCACTGAGCCTATGTGTGGTGGGGCATGCCTGTAATTCCTGCACTTGGAAGCCTGAAAACAGGAGGAGGATCACTACAAGTCCCATCTGTGTAGTCAGACCCTGTACTAAATACATTTTTAAAAAAGGAAAAAAGTTAGTGCAAAAATGTAGCCAGGTGTGGTGACGCACGCCTGTAATCCCAACACTCGGGAGGCTGAGGCAGGAGGATCATTGTGAATTCGAGACCAGCCTGGGCTACAGAATACAAAGTGTGCTCAAGGCCAACCCGAGCTGCATAGTGAGATCCTGTCTCAAAAAGACAAAAAGTACTCTAAAGCATCAGTCTTTTATGTATAACACCAATCATGATACATTCATTTTTTTAACACTATGAGATGTTTGATACGTAATGCTTGCAGAGTGCAGGTCTGATGCAGTTTGCCCCCCACACATAGTGAAACATTCCCACAATGCACATAGTGAGCATACCCGTCATCCCCAAAGATTTCTTTGTGCTTTCTACTGCATCCCACACTGCTGCATTCTGGGGCGGCCCTCCTTGATCTGCTTTCTGTCACGTTTCCATATTGTAGAATGCTATATATAAATGGACTAGAACACTACCTACTGTTTTCTGAGATTCCTCCACCTCGTTGCGTGTATCACTAGTTCTCGCCCTTTCACTGCTGAGTGTACGCCGCCACAACTGGTGTAGCCACGTACCGGCTGTGCACGCCTTGGGTGTTTCCAGTTGGTCGATGGGAAGAAAGCTGCTGCCAACAGTATGAGTGAGGAAGCCTTGTGCAGAAGTCTTTCTGGAAACATGGGCGTCCTTGTCTACTAGGTACACAACTAAGAAATGAGCCCCTGCTGCGTGGGGCAGGGGTGTAGTACCAAACTGTTCCAGAGTAGCAGTTTCATATTCCCAGTAGCAATGTATGAGAGTCCCAATTCCTCTCATCTTCTCCAACACTTGCTCTGCTCATTTTCATTTTAACAATTCTAATAGGTAATAAATAATGTTTTATCACTTTGGTTTTAATTTGTATTTCTGTCGTAACTATGATTCAGGTGTCCATCTGTAAAAACAAAAAACACTTGCACCCATACCTTACACCATGTAAAGAAAACTGAGTAACACACGTTCATGTACTTACATTTGCTTTGTGAAGTATATGTTCAGATACCTTGCCCAGTTTTTTAAAGTTGGTTTTCTGACAAGATTTGCCTTTATTTCTTCCTCCAGTGTCTGACAGAATATACCAGTTAACGTAACAGCCTGGAACTTTCTTTGTGAACGTTTTAAACTCTGTAAATTCAGTTTCTTAAAATTACGAGGCCAGGGCTAGCAAGACAGCTCAGCGGACTAAGTGCCTGGTTAGGCACATGCAGGGACCAGGGTTTGATCCCCGGCATCACATGTCCCACCGATCTCTCTCCAGGGCACACCGAGCTGGGATCGAGTCCATGCATGGTGGTGTACACCTGTAATCCCAGCACTGGGGAGGCTGAAAACAGGATTATCACTATGAGTCCAAGCTGCGTAGTGAGGCCCTCTACCAAATACATTTAAAAGGGGGGTGGCTATTCAGGTTATCCATTTATGCTTCCATGAGCTGTTGTAATCTGTTCAAGAGATGTGTCCATTTTAATAAAATGATTGAGTTTATAGAAATAAAGCTCAAAATATTCCTTTATGCTTTTAAAAGTGTTATGTCATTTATTTCATCTTTTTTTTTTATTATATTTTAGGTTAGAGTCTCAGGGTGTTCAGGGCCTCACTACTAGATCAGACTCATAGTGATCCACCTGCTTACAGCCTCCCAAGATTACAGGTGTGCGCCACCATGCCCAGTCTCAATTGCCATCTTCTCAGCGTGTGGGCAGGGCCGGCACCACAGGCACAGGGATCAAACCCCTGGCCCCTGCGCCTGCTGGCAGGTGCTTTAATCCGCTGAGCTATTTGGCCGGCCCCTATCTTATCTTTAACTGCTTCAGTTATCTAAATTAATGTCTTTTTTCTGTTCAGCTTGACTAAAGGTTTATCAGTGTTTTTTGGTTGCTGCAGGGTCTCACTATGTAGTGGTGATCCTCCTCTTCAGCCTCCCCAGTGCTGAGATTACAGGCGAGCACCACTATGTCTGGACTCTGGCTGGCACTGCATGTGGCGCTGATGGAACCGTGATTGCCTAAGCGGGTGCTTTAGTCTGCTGAGCTATCTCACCTGGCCTTATCAGTTTTACTGATTTCTCAGTGTTCAAGCTTTGCTAGCATTGGTTTTCTTCTATCATTTTTAAAAAATGTATTTAGTACAGGGTCTCATTACACAGGTAAGAATCAGTAATCCTCCTGTTCTCAACCTCCCAAACACAGGGATTCCATGCACTATCACACCCAGACCCGTTTGCCTTCAAAGCATGCCCTGGAGAGGTGGGGCCAGCATGGCAGGCCAGGGATGGAACCCCAGTCCCTGTACCTGCTTAAGCAGGCTAATCCACTGAGCTTTCTGGCCAGCCCTGTTTCAGTTATTATTATTTTTTTAAATTGTATTTAGTACAGGGTCTACACAGAACAGACTCATAGTGATCCTTCCTATCTCTCAGCCTCCCAAGTGCTGGGATTACATGCACGCACCACCACGCCCAGTCTCAGTGCACCCCAGGATGGGCTGGCACAGCAGGCCGGGATCAGTGTTTCACGGGTTTTAACCCCGGTATTTCTTTCTTACTTCTGGTTTAATTTGTTAGATCTGTAGTTTAAGGTAGACGCTAAAGCCATTGATGTGAGACCTCCCTTTTAGCCTAATAGAGCCGTGTGGTGGTCTAAGTGTGTTTACTGTTTGCAGAAGAGCTCTCTAGGCTCTGAGTGCCCCTCTGCCTGAAGTCACTGTTCTTCACATGCTGCTTGGCCTCACGCAAACCCAAACTGCAGCCAGAACGCCCTGGCAGTGATCCTGACCCTGTCACATTTTGGCTGGCCTTGAACTCGCTGTATGGTGCTGGCTGACTTCACAGGGATCCTCCTGCCTCAGCTTCCAGATTGCTGGGATTTCAGGGGTGCACCCAGTCTAGTTTCTTTGTAACATGTACATAATAACAGCAGCTGCTTTGATGATTGTTTCTACACACTGGCTTAGCTAGGCACGCCACCCAGAACATTTCAGCCTGTCCACTTGGATAAAGTAGCTTGCCCTCCGTGGTGTGGGGGCTGAAGGTGTGAAGCCAGGAGAAGCCTGGAGTTCCCTGGAGCAGGAGGGAATTCCCCTTTGGACCTGAACTATGAAATGCACACAGTATTTATCCCTGTTTGTTCAGATGTTGGAACCTCTCACCGCTGTGATCGTGATGGACTAAGTAGGCCCTTGACAGGAGATTCAGTCCTGAGGGCATGGCCCTTCTAAGGAGGCCAGAGCTCCTCTTCTGTTCCCACACCAAGGGTGCAGCTGGACTGTATCCTCCCACCAGAGAGCAGGGCCTTGCCATGGCCCGAGCCCACCAGTGCCCCATGGTGGGCACCCAGCCTCCAGGCTGGGGGAGTTGAATTGTTAGGGCGTTTTGTCATGGCAGCTGAGTGGACCAAGGCGCAGTATCTGGCTCACAAGGCTGTCCTGGGGTTCCAGTGAATACATGCCAAGATCAGCGCAGCCCGGGGCACATGTTCAACAGGAAACACTGCTGCCATCAGCATGACCATGGGTTTTTTTTTTTTTTTTTTTTTTGGCGGAACCGGGGATTGAACTCAGATCCCTGCGTCTGCCAGTCAAGCGCTTAGCCTACTGAGCCATGACCATGGTTATTGATACCTCTGCTTTCCCATTCTCAGTGCTGTGAGCTGTTGATCCCCCGGGTCCCCATATTCAATAAGGACACTGGCAGCCCACTTGTGAACGAGAACCCAGTGTGAAAAGCCCTGTCCAAGATCCAACCATGTAGGCAAGATGTCCTAACATCAGCCAAGAAGGAAGCAAACCTAGGTTCCTCCAAGGGAGAGGCAACATCAGGGGGAGAGGGCAAGCAGGACAGTGACCGCCCTTCTGTTGGCCTGCTTGCACTCGCCCTGCCATACACAGCTTCTCAGAAGTGGAGGCACATTTAGGCCCTCTTCCCTGGGCTCTTTGGAGACGGCAGGTCACGTTTCTCTTCCACACTCCATTCAAGCTGCTGAGAGTGTGACAGGGAAGGCAGAGGCCACCTGGTTCCAATTGCACTGCCCTTCTCAGGACCAGTGTCCCACAAGCTTCCTTTCACAGCTCAGACTGAGCAGAGACCCCCGGAGGCCAGCACACCTTGTGGGAGGGGCCCTTGCTGCCCACGAGTGTGTGCAGCTCTCCTTGCGCAGCCCAATCGCCAGCAGCCTCTCTGTGCAGTAACCAAGGCAAACTGCCTGCTCTGGGAACTTTTGCAGGCTGTGGTCCCACGTCCTAACAAAACCAGAGGCTAGGACAAGCTTTTGTTTATTCACTGAGCAAACAGTCACTGGATACCCGTCTAACGGACATGGTATTCTTAAAGAGTTCTGTAACATTTTAAAATATTGTTCTGCCAGGTATGGTGTCAAACGCCTGTAATTCTAGCATAGAGAGGCTGAGGCAGGAGGATCACCATGAGTTTGAGGCCAGCCTGGCCTACATAGTGACTTCAAGGCCCATCTGAACTACATACCAAGACCTCTAAAAAAAAAAAACCCTCCAAAATTGTTTCATTTCTATTTCCAACAACGTAATACAAGTGAACCTACCTTTCTGTACTTATGAAAGGTCCTTCTTGGATCCTAAAGTAACTGACAAGGCACCAGCCTTCACCCAGGTGCCATGAGCCAGAAGGGCTTGGGTTTACCCACTGGCACTCTGGGGCAGGCTCAGACACAGCCTCTTTTTTTCATCATGTAAACGAGAGACACTGAAATGCTTGTCTCTGAAGTTATCTGATGAAGTCCTTGCACAAACACCCGTGACACAAGTTGATCATTGATGAAACAACACCCACTGTAGGCCGGGTATGGTGGCGCATCGCTTAACACCAGCACTGTGGAGGCTGATGCTGGAGGACCCCAAGACTGGTAATCCCCCACTCCCACCTGGGCAAGTTAGTGGCCTGTCTCTAAGTAAAGGGTGGAGATGTAGGCCAGTGGTACTGTCCATGGGGTTCAATACCCCAGAACCACAAAACCTACCCCTCAACCCCACTGTAAGCGCCATGAGAAATGACAGTGGGGTCTGTCGGCCAGGTAATGCAAGTCTTGAATGGTCGGGCATCGTGGACTCCAAACGTTAATACGTTCGCACACCCGCGGTAGAGCACACTGGAGTAACGTAAGGCTCCGGATTGTAACCATCACCCTTTCGCACTTCGGGAAACAGGCCCATTCCGTACTGTGGCCTGGACTCCGAGGATTTCGGACTCTGGTCCTTCCAGAGTACATACTCCCATCACAGAGGCTGGTGATTAAGGAACAGCTGGGATAAAATTGGGAGCGGAAAGCTCTAACCCGCACACCACACCCGACCGCCAACGGAGGCCACGCGCGCACCCGGAACTCCAGCCGCGAACGCGGGCCCCGCCCCCTCCCGACAGGCCGCGCGGCGGAAGTGCGCCACGCAGAGGGACGCGATTGGGCGGGAGCGTCACGTGATGGCCGCGAAGCGGAAGTGCGGCGCGGAAGGGGGTGTCCGGTGGGAGGGGTGCGAAGGCGGCACGGGAGAAGCTGAGGCCACCGCGTTTCCGGTGTCGCCTTGTCGCCGTGTGAAGACTGCCAGGACAAGCCATCGGCCGTGGCCCAGGGAGAACCAGCGGCCCACGCGGCCCGGGCATGGAAGCGGAGGCCGCGAGCAGGTATCGTGGCGCCGTCCGCGTCGGCCCCTCTTGTCCTCCCTGACCCCCGCGGCGGGCGGGGGTGGGCGGGGGTCTGCGCACAAAGGCCGGCCGCGCGTGCGCACTGTGGGTCTGCGCGGGCGGCGCGGTGGGCCGCCTGGCCCCATTCTCTCCTGGGCCGCCCGGGCACTCCGGCCTTCCCGACGCGTCCCCTGTGCGAAGAGCGGGGTGTCCTCCTACAACTAGTCTATGTGAGACGGCTTCGTCCCGCAGAGACTTAACTAAACGCGACGTTGAGGGCCCTCGGTAAAACGGCGATGGGGAGGGTATAACCTGTCAAGGGGTCAGCCTCAGAACTGGCCAAGATTTTCAGCGGTCTCGGGCCGACCTTTCTACAGATGTATTATGGGAATGTTAGGAAAATCAAAGAAGCGTTTACAGAGTAGAGATTTAGATGACAGGAAGCTAAACAAAAGTAAGAAAGATGAGAAGCTCTTTAAGCGAAGAAAGTACAGTCAATTCCATTGAAATAAAAATACTATTAGTCCTAATGAAGACTTATCCTCTCGGTGCCTAATGGACGCTGAACTGACAGTCTGTAAAAGGAGGGCCTGCACTCGTGAAACTGGTCATGCACCCTTTTTTCTCGTGTGAGGATTGGACCCAGGGCATCACACAGGCCTAGGCCAGTGCTGGCGCTGAGCAACATCCTTAACCCAGAAGGAGCGACCTGAAACAAGCAGAATAAATGGTCTTTAAGGCTTAGGAAGGGGTAACCATACACAGATTTGCACTTTACTCTGATCTCATGTGGTGACTAAACCCTGAGATGTAATTCACTGTTGCTTTCTTTACAAGTCAGAGAATTTAGCAGACAGCGTAGAAATGTCTCTCACATCTCACATAGAATTGAAACCGAGCCGAGGGTTATCGTCATGTGAATTACACGGTGTGAGGACTTGTTTGAAATCCTAGAGTGGAATGGGCTCTAGGAGTCTGCGCAAAGCTCTGGTATATGTATCTTCAGCTACAGGACTTGCAAAGCTTTGCCTTCAGGAAATGTGGAAAATTTGGGGTAATATTCAGAGAAGTTATCCTTGGGGATTCTGAGATGACTCCAATATGCAGGAACCCTCAGATGACATGCTGAGTACCATTTACTTGTTACTTGGAACATGAAGAAAAAGTATTCCTTGGATGTAGACTCTTAAGATGGGAATATAAACAGTTGAAGAGTTTCAGGGGAGGTTTATTTTTATTTTTTGGCACTGAGGACCGAACCCAGGGCTTCCAGCTTGCTAGGCAAGCATTCTGCCGCTGAGCCAAATCCCCAGCCCAGTTGAAGAGTTTCAAACAGTGCTTACAGTCCAGTCAACCGCAGGAGAAAAAGAAAGAGGCATAGTGTGTGTCCAGTGACCTCAAGCATGGAAAGAACTTTTACCAAAGATGTAAGAGAGGATGGCAGCTCTGAAGTGACAGGAAGATTAACAGATGACTGAGAACACAGGTAGAGTTGGGCTTGCTGGCACACGCTTCTAATTCCAGCTACTCAGACTAAAGCAGTAGAATCACTAGTTCAAGGCCCTCCTGGGTAACTAGACCTTGTCTCAAAATAAAATTTAAAAAGACCTGGTATGTAGCTTAGTGGTACAATGCTTGCCTAACAGGTACAAGGCCTTTGGCTCAACTCTCACTACTTTTTTTTTTTTTCAGAACTGGGGTTTGAACTAAGGCCCTTGAGGTTGCCAGGCAAGCGGTTATTCTACTGAGCCATCTCCCCAGCCCCAACTCTCACTACTTAAAAAAAAAAAGGAAAGACAACACAGGTGGGAAAGACAAACACCACATATGATGATATTGAGACTAGAGTTAGATGTGGACAGGAAAAGATAAAAGGTTTTGGTTTTCCACACAGCCCACCAGCATGGTGTTAGATGACCAAAGACATAAATACATAGTTATGATTTTTTTTTTAATTTTTATTTATTTATTTTTACATTTTATTTATTGTGTGTGTGGCCAGTTCAGCCCACCTGTGGGCGGGCTGGCTGGCATGTGGTGCCGGGGGATCGAACCGTGGTCCCTGTGCTTTGCCAAGCTTGTTCCAAGTAGGTGCTTTAGACCACTGAGCCATCTCTCCAGCCCCATAGTTATGATTTTGATTTTTTCCAACTCCAGTGTTTTCTGGTTTTTGTTTTTGTCTTGCTGGTTGGTTGGTTTGAGACAGGGTCTAACTATGTCTTCCAGGCTGGCCTTGAACTCACTATGTATTGAGCTCATGGTGATCCTCCTGCCTCAGCCTCCCAAATGCTAGGATCACAGGCATACAGCACCATGCCTGGCTTGGCTTTTTGTCTGTTAAGGAAAATGGCTATCACATTGGACAGGAATAAGAGATTTAAAGCCCAAAGTCAGTGAAGGCTGTTAAGAGAACTTCAGCTGCTCCACAGAAACCCTGTGTCCTGGCCATATTTCAGAAGGCCAATTAGAACAGACCTAACCCAGATACAGTGGCTCATGCCTGTAATCTCAGCGTTCAGCAGGAAGGCTGAGGCAGGAACACTGCCATGAGTTCATACCAGCTGGGGCTACATAGTTCAGAACCATCCTGCACTACATAGTGGGACCCAGTCTCAAAAACCAAAGCCCCAAGCAAATGAAAAACCTAGATTATACCAGTCCTTGAGGACCTGTAGACAGCAGGTGAGCAGCCTGAAGAATGGAAATAAAACCTATTTCTTCTGAAGGTGGACTGTGGCCTGCTTGGACATGTTACCCAGACTGGTCTTCAGCTTGTGATCCTCCTGCCTCAGCTTCGTGAGTATTAGGGTTACAGATGAGGCTGGGAGTGCAGGCATGTGTCACTAGAAACACCGCACACACAGGCACACATACACACAATACTAGGGATTAGGTTCAGGGCCTTCACACTGAGCTACAGCCTAGCAGTGCTTAACTATTTGTTTAGTTACTTATTTTGCAGTGCTAGAGATTGAACCCAGGACCTTCACATTGGGCTACATGTCTGCCCTTTGGTGGTCTTTGCATTTTTAGACAGGGTCTAAGTCTGAGTCCTATTTCAGCCTCCCAGAGTGCTGGGATTAGAGGTAAGCACCACCAAGCCTAGCTTTCCTTTGACACAGGGTCTTGCTACATTGCCCAGGCTGGGATTGAACTCATGATTCTCTTGTCTCAGCTTCCCAGAATACTAACTAAAGTTGTGTGACCCCAACACCCAGCTACTGAACATTTTTTAAAGGAACTAGTGAACTTTAGAGTACAGTAAGAGTCCAGGAAAAGCAAACAAAAACCAAGAACTGCATTAGACAGCTGACAGGGTACTTGAAATAGTCTTGACTAGTCGAGCACACTTACCAGATATTGCAGTTTTAAATACCCTGATTAGCCATTAGAATGAATTAGGTGCTGTTGTTGCTGTTTTACATATATGAAGGCTAGAGATTAAAAGGTCAAGGAAATTGTCCGCACAGCTGGTAGACAGCAGAGCTGCAGCTGGGATCAGAGCTGCCCCTGTAGACCTTGTACTAAATACGTAAAAGAGGCACAATCCTGTATTTGGACGCAGAAGAATCTGTAAGTGGGGAGAGGGACATGTGATTATGGCAAAGACTTTTTAAAAAAATTTATTTGGTTTTAGGTTTGTTTGTTTTTTGGGTTTTTTTGAGACAAGATTCTTGCAAAGTCATCCAGGACAGCCTCAAAACTCCCAATCCCGAGTGCTTGCTTCAGCCTCCCAAGTGCTAGGATCACAGACGTGCACCACCACGCCTCCCTCAGGCAGTCCACGCTGATGATCAGCTCAGTGTGATTTGGCAGTTTACTGTGATTCCCAGTAAAACTAAAACTAACATTACAGGTTTTGTCATCTGTCATAAGGATGAGTGAGTTGCTAGTCCTGCTCTGGGCAAAATGACCGAGTGCTGAAAAGCTTTGAAATCTTCCTAGACAGGGACCACCAGTTCTGTGAGCCGGGGATGCCGAGTTACCCTGAGCTGGTACTCAGTTTGTGGTGCGCAGGCCAAGGTGAGCAGATGCTTCCGCTAAGCGAGGTCACAAGCAGTCTCGACATGGACATGGTGGTCTTCCATCATAGTTCACAAAACTTGCCCCCAGCGCCGAGCATTTAGAAATACTATTATTGGAGGACCAGTATTATATGTATTTAAGTGAAGATGTTGAAGTGTATTTTGAAAATAGCAGCTTAAGTCTTTAACTGAGTTGATTAGACTTAACTCTTTGTGAGAGTTTGTGAGGTGTGTGTGTGTGTGTGTGTGTGTGTGTGTGTGTAAAAAGACTGTCAGAAAGTACATTTTTTGGGCCAGTGAGATAGCTTAGGGGTCTAAAGTGCCTGCTTAGGCTAGCTCAGGGACCGCGGTTTGATCCCCAGCACCACGAACCTTACCAGCCCCGCCCCCAGGGCAGGCTGAGCTAGCTACAAAATAAATAAATAATTTAATTTTAAAAAGAGAAGAAGAAAAAGAAAGTTACACATTTCATCATTTCAGGCAGCTGCGTGAACCAGCCCTGCCAGCCCTGTAGTTCATGGAAGGGGATACAGAAGGCCAGAGAAGGGGAGCACAGCAGAGAAAGGAGAGGTGGGGACAAATGAAGGAAGAAAGTGAGCAAAGGGAAAGAACATGCGTTGTGCTTGTTGGATCCGGGAGTTATAGAACAATGAAGACTGAGGAGGGGTCTGATTTAGACAGGTTCTGTGCTGCATGTGGAAGTCACTGACTCTGACCTCTGCGCGGTGGGGGAGAAGAGGTGAGCTCGGACCTGATTGTCTTCGTCACTTTCTTACCTCGGGGTACAACACCCGACTTCCAGAGCGGAAGGCAAGGCCGACTTGGGCTCGTGCTCTAGGCATCAGTCCATGTTCCATGGGCTCAAAGGTGGAAGCCTCCCTGTGGGGAGGAGAGCTCCTCGCACCATGGCAGCCTCAAAGCAGCGGCAGCGGAGGGCGCCGCGGAGGGAGGTGGACCCCTCTGGAGCATGCCCCCAGTGATCCGCCTCTTCCCACCTGGCCCCACCTGCTGCAGTATACGCACTGTAGCCCCACGAGGAGACGGGACGGCTACACATGAACCTTTTGGGTTTGTTTTGTTTGTTTGGTTGGTTGGTTGGGTTTTTTTGTGGTACCAGGGATTGAACCCAGGACCTTGCGCTTGCCAGGCAAGGCTTATTCTACAGAGCTAACTCCCCGGACCCTCTATGTATTTTCTTATGTAGTGCCATGGGTCCTTTTGTAAAAGTTAAGCATGTGTTGTCATAAGTAAGCTTCTGCATTTCTTTGAAAGGTGATATAGATCTCTTAAGAGAAGTTCGTTTTATTTTTATTTTATTTTTTTGTTTTGCTTCTTTACGTATTTAGTACGTACAGTGCACCCAGGGGATGGGGCCAGCATGGCAGGCTGGGGATTGAACCCCAGGCCCTTGCATCTGCCTAAGCAGGTGCTTTAATCTGCCGAGCTATCTGGCTGGCTTTTGTTATTTTTCACTTCGTATTTGCCAACACAACTTAGTTTTAGTTTCTGAGCCCCAGAATTTCAAACTATATTTAATGTCCTCTAACTATACTAAGGGAGCCACATTTCACATAGTAGTGTTTAAAAGTGAAGGAGCCTTTTATAATGTGAATGCTGTCTTCTCCATTTGGATTGGATTTGGGAATTTTGTTAGGTACTCTAGATGGATCCTATCTGACAGTGAGAATAGTAGCATGAACTGTGGGGTACGAGCAGGTAGGTTGCCTTCCTGACCATGTGACCGCTAGCAAACCTCCTGTACTCTTTAGGTCATTCATTTATCGTGACTGTGTGAGGCATGTGTAAGCCCAGGGGTTTGGTCTCCACAACTGTAAAACACAAATATATCCTAGTCACTTTTGTTGCTGGGACAGAATACCTGAGACCGCTAACTTAAAGGAGGGAGAAGGGGTTTATTTGGTCTCACACTATCAGACGTTTCAGTGCTGGTTGGCACCCAGAAATGGCATAGTGGAAGGGTGTGACGTGGTGGACAGCCACTCACATCGTGGCAGCCAGAAGCAGGAGATGAGGAGGAGCCAGGGAGAGAGGCCTTCCTGGTCACATCGCTGATCATCTCTGCCTAGCAGGCGCACCCACTAGGGTGCTGTTTAGCTCTAGCACTCTCATGGTGCAGTGGAATGCCAAAGCACCCCGCATCCCTATACCTGCGTGGGAGTTTTGGGGGTCATTCTAGATCTAACCCAGAACATTGTGGCCCTGGCTCCCAAAGGACTCCTGTGCATCTTGTTGTGCAAAACGCATTTAGTCCATCTCTTAAGAGTTGCCACCGTGTTAGCAGTTCTGGCAGGGTGTGGTGGCGCATGCCTGTAATCCCAGCACTCAGGAGGCTGAGGCGGCGATCACTGAATTCAAGGCCTACCTTTTAGAAGTCTCAGGACCTGGCTTGGAGGAAAGCTGCTCAAGTACTGGCAGCCAGGAAGCAGAGAAGAGAGGGCCTGGGAGGGTGCGGGCCTTCCAGGTCACATCCCCAGTGACAGGGCTCTTCTCACCAGGCCCCGCCTCCTGCCAGCCCTCGCACCCATGATGCCGTCACCTTCCACAAGCCCACCTCTGAGCAGAGGAAAGTTGGGGCCTTTAGGAGCTGAGCTATGACATTATCATAACTGCATTTCTTTCTGGTTAACATGTCCAGTCTGAAAGTGACTACGTATTATTATCTGGAAATTGCCACTGTCTGCAGTCAAGGTCCAGTTCATTTTATTAGAATTCTCTGAGGATAAGTCCTCAAGGTCTCTCAGTCTTAACTGTCTCCAAGTCTTCATTAGCATATTTAAATCAAGCAGTGAGCAGCCAGTGTTTCAGCAAGTTCAGAGCAGTGTTAGTGTTGCTAAAGAAAATGCTACCACAAGAGGACATTTTACTTTGTGCTGAGCACAGTTCCAAGCTCGTCACTTCTCTTCATTGTAATGTTATACTAGTGGCGCACACCCGTGATCCCAGCACTCAGGAGGCTCACCACAAGTTCAAGGCCAGTCTGGGCTACATAGTGAGTTTGAGGCCAGCCTGAACTATATAGTGAGGCCCTGTGTCAAATAGGTTAAATATCTAACTTCTGTTCCATGTTCATGTATTTTCTCCATGTGTAGCCTGTTAGCATAGTTCACATGCTATTTTACATTTTCTACGTTAAAATGTATTATTAACCGGGGCTGGTGAGATGGCTCAGTGGTCTAAAGCACCTACTTAGAACAAGCTCAGCAAAGCACAGGGACCGCAGTTCAATCCCCCAGCACCACATGCCAGCCAGCCCCGCCCCCTGGTGGGCTGAGCTGGCCACACACACACACACACACACACACACAAAATAAATAATTTTTAAAATGTATATTAACCTTTTTTCTGTGCTTTAGATAGGATCAGTTTTCAGTAGCTGCCCAGGAGTCTCCTGTCAGTATACTACCTTATTGATTTACTATGTCTTAATTTCTTCTACAGTTTAAGAATGACATATTTAAACAGTAAACTTTTTTTTTTTTTTTTTAATTTTATTTATTTATTTGTGTGTGTGGCCAGCTCAGCCCACCAGAGGGCGGGGCTGGCTGGCATGTGGTGCTGGGGGATTGAACCGCAGTCCCTGTGCTTTTAGCTAAGCTTGTTGTAAGTAGGTGCTTTAGACCACTGAGCCATCTCACCAGCCCTTAAACAGTAAACTCTTGAGGGTACAGATAGATGCTGCTCTTGCTGGCCCTTAGTCACGTTTCCTCCACAGCTTACCTCTGGTGCTGTGTCCACAGTGCCCCCCTCGGAGTGTCTAGCCTGGTAGCCTGGCACCTGCAGGTGCCCTCAGCTCATTTTTTAAAATGTCTTTTTTTAAAAAAAAAATTTTATTTATTTATTTATGTGGGGGGGGGCAGCTCAGCCCACCAGGGGGCGGGCTGGCCGGCATGTGGTCCTGGGGGATGGAACCGGGGTCCCTGTGCTTTGCTAAGCTTGTTCTTAGTAGGTGCTTTAGACCACTGAGCCATCTCACCAGCCACCCCCAGCTCATTTCCAGGCTTAGCAGCGAGCACTCTGGAGCCATGTGTACAACAGAGCTGCCCAGCCTTTCTCTGTGTGACCTCCGCAGGAAGTGTGACTTCCCTCTAGTAGGAAGGGATTCTTTCCCGTCTTCTGTCCTGCCTGATGGTGACCTTTTCCTGCGCGCTGAAAGGCTTTGGCATCAGCTCTATCTCGAGTCGCGTTGCATTTCTGTTTACTTCCCCAGCTTTGGGCTGACAGCAGCAGCTTGAGGTCACTGGAAAGCTTTTTTAAATTTTTCTCCTAAGGCCCACATTCCTCCCTTTGAATAAAGTTTAAATCATGTTTGAAGAGCCTAGAGACTTTTTCTCATAAATTTAATAGATATTTACAAAGTAATTATTCCTAGTCCCCATTCAGTGGCAAACCACACCAAAAAACCAAGAATAACAAGAACTCAGTCTAACAAGTAAAAAAACAGATAAATAAAAAACAAAACAAAACAAAACTGTAGCTTAGATTGGAGGGGATCTTTGTGCAGATAAGTAAATACCAGAGGCTAGGGACACAAACTGTGCCTGTGGACAGACAGATTAATGCTCGTGAGGGTTTATGTCTGTCTACTAGAAAATTCCCATAAAGCAGTATGGCTGACTTGACACGATTAGCAGGTTTCATCGGTGACACTTGGTGTCATCCAAGGTGCTGTCTGGTCTAAGCATGGGGTAAAGGGTAGATTTTGCATGCAAGAATAGAGCTTCCCCCACTTCTTCCCCTGACCTCCTCTTAGTAAATACTGCAATCTGGTGACAAGACTTCATGTCTCAGACACCTAAAATGAAAGAAAAGGTTTAAAGTTCATAGTCACTGGCGGTTTCAGTCTGAACTCAGCTGGCTCCAAGGCTGGGTGGCAAATGACAGAGGGCAGCCATTTGCAGCACCCACACCCACAATAATCACAAACTCCAGAAGCCGCCCTGTGACTGCACAAGGCTTTGGGGGGGACAGCTAGACAAAAACCATACCTCTTAGATTCTGAGGATTTTTTTTCAGAGCTGACCATTGAAACTTAAATTTGGGATGCCCTGGAGGTACACCCCTGTAATCCCAGCATTTGGGGGCTAAGGTATAGGAGTCTGATGCATTTAATGTCGGCCTGGGCTCTGTAGTGAACTCTTTCTCAAAAGGATGTGACGTGGTGGTAGAGTGCTTGGTTGGTTTGATCACCAGTATTGTAGAAACTAAGCAAACAGATAAAACCTTACATTTGGATAATTGGATCATCGCTGCACTGCTTGTCCTTCCAGCTATTCCCTTGAGCAAGCTCAAGCTTTTCACCCGTTTCCATATCAACCAGCGATGGCTGAAGCTCTTCACCTGGCAGTCCCGGCAACAGCAACAGAACAGCAGATGCCAGCAGAAGCCCCTGCCCCAGCTCCTGCGCAGGAGCCCATGAAAGGTAGATGCCCTGCGACAGTTTAGAATGATGATACTGGATTCACTGCCTGCACAAGAACAGGCTCCTGGAGGAACAAAAACCATACCTCTTAGAAACCATACCTCTGTTTCAATTGCTGTCTCCTGTATAAGTAGTTAGTGTGCACTAACCACAGCAGGGTTTCTAGGAATGGAAGGGCCTGGATGTGACCCTACAGCCAGGGCATAGCCAGGAACAAGAAGAGAAGAGGCTGGATAGGCAGTTGAGGCTGGGCGTTATCCTGAGGGCTGCAGGGAGTGCTCAGAGGATGTCAGCAGAGAGTGTCATCAACCTTCTCCTCCACCACCTCCACGTCTTTACCAAGGAACCTGTAGTGAGTCCCTAGTCTTCTGCCTGGAGTCTTGGCATGCAGTGAGAAAGAAAGGAGCAAAGTAAATAGGGCTCTGGGATGGTCAATGTTCTCTAGGAAGAAAGACCCAGCTAGCTGCTGTTTTATTAGCCAGTGCAGGTAGAGGGGTCCAGTGCCTTTCCTGGAACAGTGTAGAAGTGGTATAGAGTGGTTGACCGGGCAGGTTGAGCATCACAAAGGAAACAGGTTTCGCTGGAGCCCCTCACCTGGGTGCTGGCCCTCCCTGCCTTGTCCTCAGCAGACCTCGCCCTGCTCTGTGAGCCTTGCAGCCTCGTTGATCGGCACGATCTGGCGATGGAGAGGAAGCAGGATTTCTGCATCCTATAGGGCCCCGGGCCACAGGCAGGGCAGGGATCCTCGGACAGATAACCGTGTCAGTGGGGTTTACTAAAGAAGAGCACAGCTCCTTGGAGGCGGAGGCAGCAGGATCCCAAGGTCAAGGCCAGCCTGGGCAACAGCAAGAGCCTATCTCAGAATCAAAACCACAGGGCTGAGGATGCAGCTCAATGGTGATGTGCTTGCCTAACATGCACAAGGTCCCAGGTTCAGTTTCCACCCTTGAGAACATGAGTCAGAAGAACAGGGATGCATTGGGTAGAGAGGGCCAGGGCAGGTGTGGAGGCAGGAAGCACAGTAGCCTGTTGGGGGTGATCTGGGAATAAATGAGGAAGACGTGGAGGGTGGAGGAAGAGCTAGGAAGTACATGGAGCCTTTTCCAGCTTAGTGAATTTCCTGTGCGGCCCAGAAGATGGAGATGTCTGGGAGAAACTGCATTGGTCTGCTCTGCACTTTGCAGCAGCGGCTGTGGCCCCAGCCCAGAGGCAATTAAGGCCCTGAAGTGACTGGCATTGCTGTGGCAGAGCACGTTGGAGGGAGGTTACCCATGCTCCAGGAGCCAGAGGAGCGACTTGCAGTGCCCTCCAGGGCTCCCACCCCATCGGCCAAGGGCTGCTCACCAGCCTGGCCACTCTCGGGCTCCATGTCACTCCCAGACCAGCTGCATGGGGCCTGGCTTCCATGGGGGGGCTCTGAGGGGACAGACTCGGACCACAGTTTCCATCTTCTGTCCTGGGTGGCCCTGTGTCAAAACAGAATTAGGGAAGGAGCCCAGCAGGTTTTGGGGAGGTAGGGTGCAGAAAGGTCATGACTCCCTCCAGTGGAGCCATGGTGCTGTGAGAATCGTGCTCACAGCTTGCTGTGGGGTCCCTGAGCACCCCGAGTCCTTTGCCCTGCAGCTCCTTTCCACCCTGTCTCTGGATTTGGGCAGGAATCTGGGGAGTCCCTGGGGCTCCCCACCTACAAACCACAGGTGCCAGGCCCCTTTCCATCGGGAGCAGCTGAAGTAGCAGAGGGCATGGAGAAAACTGCCCGCCTTGCTTGGGGAATCACCGGATGAGAGTGGATGGGGCAGAGGACAGAGGCAAGGGAAAGAGAATGCAGAATGCAGGGTTAGCCATGGCCGGGGGTGCGTGCCTGTAACCCCAGGATGCTGTTGAAAGTTGTGGGCTGCGTGGAAGAATCTGTTGTAAAAGGAGAATTAAGGGTAAGAAGGCTTCAGGTTGATGGATCTAATGGTGTTCCGGCAGCCAGGGCCCATGGGGCAGCGTTGGGGGGCGGGCAGCACGTGTGCTGGTGGGCAGAGCTCAGGTGCTGTGCTGCCTGGCGTACAGCTCAGCCCAGGACGCCTGGGGCAGGTGCTGCGGGCCTGCTCTTGCTGGGAACGATGCCACCAGCCTGCAGAGCAGCGTGGATGCCGCCCCCCAGAGTCTCTCAGTGGGCTCAGCAGCCATGTCAGGTTTTATACTGCTAAGAAATGGAGATAAAGTTGTGTCGTAATTAATTACTAGGTATGTATATGTAGACTTGCTATAAAATGGTGCCTAGATACTGTGTCCCTGATGGGGCCAAGATGACAGCAAGCTCATAACGCAAGCTTGTGTAGCAGTGTGAACTGGACAGACAGTTTTCCTGGAAGGAACCCTCTTGTCAAGAGAAGGGGAGATGAGGAGCCTGCGTGGAGCGAGGGGAAGGGGAGTCTGCAGGGTCACTTTCCTGGGAAAGCTGCGGGGGCCCCAGATTCAGCTTCTCTGCAGCGTGTTGTGGATGTTGTCATTTCAGAGACTCCAAGGGGAAGGAAGAGAAAAGCCAAGGCACCAGAACCCGCAGCACCTGCGGCACCCGCAGCACCCGCCGAACCCAAGAAACCTGCCAGGTCCAAAAAATCCACCAAGTCCGCAAAGTCCAACGAAAAGCAAGAGAAAATTACAGACACGTTTAAGGTGAAAAGGAAAGTGGACCGTTTCAACGGTGTGTCTGAGGCGGAACTTCTGACCAAGACACTCCCTGATATTTTGACCTTCAATCTGGACATCGTGATAGTAAGAATCTTTTTCATCTTTTGATTTTATAGATAGCATCAATGGGTCTGCTTCACTTATGTTGTCCTTGCAGTTGATATTTTGCTGAAAACAACCAATTGTGAGCCCCCTCCTGGGGACATGGAAGAGCTCACAAGGTGGGAATGAGTTGGGGTTCAGCTCCTGTCAGTGACCTGGAACAAGCCTAAACTTCTCCTTTTGTCTTTTTACGGCCTCTTTTTAAAAATTTTTCAGTAGCTGCTGGTTACCTTCCGCATGGACAGTTCATGCATGTGGCGCCCTCTCCTGTCCACCCGTCTCATTGCTCTTCCAGGGGGCGATAGGGTTCCTGTTTATGGCAGCTTGGCGCACTTGTCCACAGGACTCAGGGCAATTGTGTGGTAACCTGCGAGTACCCCAGAATAACAGCCATGATTCTGAGCTGGTGTTTCTCTCAGTAACTATGGGCCTCCGTGCAGGTGATGCGTGGGCCCCGCTGTGGCCAGAGGGGCTCTGACTGGGGACTGCCCTGAACCTCTTCCAGCTGGGAGGGTGGGGGCTGGGCTATGAACTCAGCAGAGCACACAGTTGAAAAGAAATCTCAGGGTACACATGATTGTGCACACCTGTAATCCCAGCACCCAGGAAGCTGAGGCAGGAGGATCATTGCAAGTTTAAGACCAGCCTGGGCTGCTAAGTGAGCTCAAGGCCAGCCTGAACTGAATAGCAACACTGTCTCAAAAAGATAAAAGAAAAAAGAGAGTGAGAGAGAAAAGAAAAAAAAAATCTCCTTTCTTGTGGACTACCTTTATTTTTTGGACCAAGAGTAATTCTAATTGAAAATGTTGATGGTGCTGGATTAAATTTTTTTTTAATCGTCAGTTAAGTTCTGTCTGCTATTCTATTGAAATGCTAAAGTTTATGCCCTACTTTTCCAGACTAAAATGATTAATTATTTTGTTTTATAGATTGGCATAAATCCAGGCCTCATGGCTGCTTACAAAGGGCATCATTACCCCGGACCTGGAAACCATTTTTGTAAGTGGTTTGTTCACTTTTAAATGAGCTCTCTTAGCCAGGAATGGCACTTCACTCCTGTAATCCCAACTACCTGGGCGGGACAGGCAGCACGGTTGTAAGTTTGAGGCCAGCCTGGGCAATGTGACGAGACCCTACCAAACACAAGAAAAAAATTTTTTTTAATTTAAAAAAGACTTAGCTCAGCAGCAGAGAGCTTGCCTCATGTGATCAATCCCCATTAACTCCACCGATCTCTGTCTTTATTAGCAGTTTGGTTTTGACCAGTTGTGGTTTTGTTTAGTGTTATGAGGGGCTGCTTTTTTGGGGGAGTATCAAAGATCAAGCTCAGGCCCTTGTGCCTGCCAGGCATGTGCTTATGCTACTGAGGTGTATCCTGACCCTTATTTAGTTTTGGTACTGGCGATTGAGCCCAGGGCCTCAAGACAGGCAAGCACTCCTGAGCTATACTCCTCATACTTTCTTTTGAGTTCTTTTCTGTGAATTTTACTACTTTTTAAAAGCTAACTTTTAAATGACTAACCTACAGAGGTAGGAACATCAGCACGTGGCACCAGTGCAGACCAAGTACTGACTTTATCCAGGTTCCCGTTGATCCCGCGTCAGGGCCGAGCTTCCGTGCTGAGTGCTCTTGTCTCTGCGGCACAGTGCAGGAGCCTTGGGCTGTGGGCATAGATGGACCTCTCTCCACAGGGAAGTGTCTGTTCATGTCGGGGCTGAGCGAGGTCCAGCTCAACCACATGGACGACCACACGCTGCCCGGCAAGTACGGCATTGGCTTTACCAACATGGTGGAGAGGACGACACCGGGCAGCAAGGACCTCTCCAGGTAACTGCGCGGCGCTGCACCCGGCACCACTCACACCACCCATGTCATATGGGTGTCATGGCCCGGCTTGGAGCTGCGCTCCGCACACACGCTGAGCTCTTTCATTGAAAGCTGCCTGAATTTAGCATATTATAAAGACTGCATATTTATCTATTTTTTTACTATTTAATTCAATTTTAGTAAAGAATTTCGTGAAGGAGGACGTATTCTAGTACAGAAATTACAGAAATATCAGCCACGCATAGCGGTGTTTAATGGAAAATGTAAGACTTGCTTTTACGTTCTATCTTATTTCTGTGATGACATTAGGACAACATAAATACGTTTGTATTTTATCTTAGGTATTTATGAAATTTTTAGTAAAGAAGTTTTTGGAGTAAGGGTTAAGAACTTGGAATTTGGGCTTCAACCTCACAAGATTCCTGACACAGAAACTGTAAGTCCTTACAATTATGTTTGTAGATTGGCTAAATGGGGATTTTTTTCCTATTTTTGTTTAATTTGCCCTATCCATTTCCATTTATACTACTATGAATTAAGCCACATCATATTTTGTTAAATGCTATCTATATATCAACTTTTAATAGCTAAAAATTCAGATACTGTTAGATATTAGAAAGATAGACATTTGTTAGGTTTTACATACGAGGCAATCATGAAGAGAAACTCATTTCTGTAGCATCTCCAGATACTTGCTGCCCGCCTTACTTATATTTTTAGGTTCTATCTATACCTATAAAAAGCAGCCCAGCCCACAGGCACACAAGTCACATGTGCATCATTTGAAACAGTGCCTGACGGTATGGATGGCCTGGAAAGGGCCCAGTGGGCACCGTGTGGACTAGAGGGCTTTGCTGTACGCTCCTGTGCCCTTCCACCACCACCCCCCCCCCGCCCCCCGGTCAGTCTTTTTGAGACAAGGTCTCATTGCGCTGTTCAGACTGGCCTTGCGCTCACTTTGTAGTCCAGGCTGGTCTCAAACTCTCAGTGATGCTTCTGCCTCAGCTTCCTGAGTGCTGGGGTTACAGGCGTGCACCACCATGCTGGGCTTCTTCCATCTCTTGAATTTCGAACCATAAATTTACTATTGAGAAGAAAAGCTGTCAATAGACTCGAACACCAGGGCAGGCACATTGTTTTTAATGGATGGACTTCATAAGTATATTATAGATTTGATCTTAAATGTAGCTGTTACTGATTTTACATATGTATATGGTGAAGAAGCAAGTTATTGACCCAAGTAAATGTAACTTGTCTAACCTCAGTATTGAATCGAATTGTGAAATTTCTAAAACGGCGCCGTTGCTGTTCTAGCTCTGTTACGTCATGCCATCGTCCAGCGCCAGGTGCGCACAGTTTCCCCGTGCCCAGGACAAGGTTCACTACTACATTAAGCTGAAGGACCTGCGGGACCAGCTCAAGGGCATCGAGCGGAACACGGACGTGCAGGAAGTGCACTATACATTTGACCTGCAGCTTGCCCAAGGTGTGTTCTTGCAACCCCCTTCACTCGTTTCCTTGCCTGTCACTCCAGAAGGTGGGCATGGGGTAAAATGCAGCAGAAAAAATGGCCGTACCGCAGGCAGCGTGCTCGTATCTGGGGCGCAAGTCACTTGGACTTCCTGTGCCAAGGTTTCCATCTGCCCTGGGCACCCCCGGGCGATGAGGCCTGAGACACAGCTCACCTGCCCGAGAGCGAGTAGGCAGGTCTGTACAGTTCAAGGAGTGCAGTGTGTGCTCCCCAGAGTTTATCTCATTGAAGGAAAAGGATTCCTGACCTCTGAGTAAAGCTATTCACAGAACCACTGCTGAACGCAGCTCTGACTTGTTTCTCCTCCCTGTAGAGGATGCAAAGAAGATGGCCGTGAAGGAGGAGAAGTACGACCCGGGATACGAGGCTGCCTACGGCGGTGTGTACAGCGAGAACCTGGGCAGTAGCGAGCCGTGCAGCCTCACCTCCAACGGGCTAGGTATAATGGAGCCTCAGACCTCAGACCCGCCTGCGGGCATGGGGTGCCGCGAGGGGGAGCCGACACCAGGGACGAATGCCACGACTGTGGGTGTTGCTTGACGTTTAACCACACAGCCTGTAGCTGGGCGCGGTGGTGCGCACTGCGGTCTGGAAGGCTGGAGCCACGCTTAGGCGCCTACCCTGAGCAGCTTAGTGACTCAGAATTTAAAAGGCAGTGGATGTGGTGCAGTGTGAAGGCCCTGGATGCAGTCTGTAGCCCTCCAAGACAGAGCAAAGCTGAGCAGGCTTGTGCAGCTCCTTTCTGTAAGTCAGGCTGTCAGCAGAGCGCAGTGCCCTTTGCTTCCTAAGTAACACGGAGGGTTATCAGTGCTGTAGCTTAGATAGAGCAGACTCTTGGAGTTGATTCCAGAAGCTGGATTAATAGTTCCCTAATAGCTCTCCTTCACTGTGCTCTGGACAGCTCCCAACCCCAGCTGACCATTACGCCTCCTGAGTACAGTAAGCCTCTGTTCTCCTGCAGCCGGCAGTGCTGAGTTCAGAGGAGAGTCGGCGTTCAATGACGTCCCGAATGGGCAGTGGATGCCTCAGCCTTTCCTGGACCAGACCCCGCCTTTGGCCGCCCGCCCTGGACCGCAGGAGCTGGAGGAAGGGGGCCACGCATGAGGACAGAGCTGTGCTGCCTGCTGCTGCAGCTCTGGAGCAGCTCTCGAGGCTGCCTCGGTTCCTGACTGACGCGTGTCAGTCATGCTTGCTCTAGAGCTGTAACCCCGGCGCGGCAGAGCCGTGCGATAGGATCAGCTTTGTGGACCTGAGTAGCTGGGAGGGAGGAACAGGGGCTTTTGTATGTGTTTTTGTATTTGAACTAGCTATCATCCCAGCTTTTTATATACTATATTTCCTTTATGAAGAAATCAATTTTCTTGTGGGTATCACCCTCTATCTGTAATTTTAAAATTCAGCAGCTTGACTGGGCGTGGTGGTGCCTGCCTGTAATCCCAGCCTCTTGGGAGGCTGAGACAGGAGGATTGCTGTGAGTTCAGGGCCAGTCTGGACTGCATAGTGAGACCCAATGCATCAGCCTGAGTATTTATACTGGATCCTAACTGTGTATACCTCACAAGGCCATTGCCCTTCTTGCCCAAGATGGGCATCTGGCTGGGCTACACTGGGGAGAGGCAGGTGTGTGGCCGTATGGCAGGGACTCACTTCTTAGTGTCTGGCGTGGACAGGTGAGCGCAGGCCTGCCCAGCTAATGTTCACACAAGGGCCACTGTCCTTCCCCATGGCCTGTCTGTGATAGTGGCTAGAGTGAAACCCAATGTGGTGTTGCCACACCCAGGCTAAGCTGGCCCTGCAGACAGGACCCAACCCCGTGTGCTAATCCCCCAGCAGGCACGCATCTGCCAAGCCACAGGAGGCCAGCCACGCTGCTGCTCTGTAGCTCCAGAGCACGGGCTTGCTGGGGAGGAGCCGGGCTCGGCCACCGCTGTCTCCTGGGGTCTTACCCTCCGTGGTGTCTTTGGTCACGATGTGGACCATGGTAAGAACTCCAGGCTGAGCCACAAGGTGCTACAGGTGTCCTGATAATCTTATTTAAACAGGTGCTTTGTGTACATGGGATGTACTAAATTAAATAGGTGTATTTCTGCTACATCAGTATAACCAGTAATTTAAAAGCTCACTGTGCGCCCTTGCTGTTTGCTGCCGTGGCCACAGTGAACCTCTCAGAAAGGTGGGCCTCTGTACCTTTGTGAACTTCTGATGCGTTTTCCATGGTGCTACAGACAGTCCAGCCCCCAAGCCTAGTGGCTCTCAGAGCTGGCGATTCAGAGATTGCGTTCGCACTTGCTCTGACGCGGCCTGTGTCCTGGCTGTGTGCGGCAGGTGCCTACTTTTGGGCAGTGTGAGAGCTCTGTGGGGATCCTTTGCCCCAGGAGAGGATAGCCTGTGTTGTATTTATAGTAAGAGAAACGCAACCTTGTTACAAATCTTACCATGCTTTTTAGCTATAGCAAGGATGGATTGTATTTTTCTTTGTATGGGTCACACTGTGTGTAAGTTGCTCATGTTATTTAAATGATGCACTGTGCTGCTGTTTACGTGGGTTATCAGAGTTTCGAGTGGCCCTCATCAGAGACTGGGGGAGGGGCATTTGTCTCCAGGCTAAGCGGGGCCGTGCCAGTGCCACTTGGTGCGTCCTGCCTGGGCCCTGCCCTAGGCCCCTGCTGGGGCGCAGAAGGTGCCTTCCAATCTCGACAGCCACTCGCCAGCGTGGGGTTCGGGCTTCCCAAGCTTACAGTCACGATGGGTTCACCCAACAGGACGGGTGACCAGAAAGGCTGATGTACCTGTATGTGACGGTATGAGACTTTTTCATTAAATAATACTAAGTTTTAAATTCATTTGAAAGTCTGGTGGTTTCTACCATAAAAATACCAATAGTGGTTATCCCTAAGCTATAGGCTTTTTCTGTATCAAGACTTAATGGCGTTCTTTCCGCTTTTAGTGCTGACTGAGGTTCATCTCCTGTTTAATGTGTAAAGTGATATACACGAGGAAATCATAAAAATCCATGAATATTTATATTTTTATAGCCTTCCATGCTTTAAATGCAGTGGTTTTGATAAAAGACAAGGTTGGTAACCTGTTTCAAAACATTATACCCAGGGCCAGGAGATGGTTCAGTGGAATAAGTGCTTCCCTGGCAAGCGCAAGGGCTTGAGTTCAATCCCCAGTTCTGGAAAAAATTAAAAAAAAAATTATACCCAGATGTGAAAAATACGTTTGGAAATTTGAAGGTTGGATGGGTGTAACTGACATTCGGTGTCGGGCCGATGGGCGCCGCTCTCCAGACGGGCCTCCGCAGCTGCTGCCTGAGCCCAGGGCGGAGTGCGCGCTCGGTGCCTTGTCTGCGACATGTCCTGAAGGCTCGCGCGGGTCACAGGCAGTGCTCAAAGGAAACGGCCTGGGACCAGCCACAAGCGCAGGTGCCTGCTGCGTACCCAACGTTCAGCGCGGCTTCCGTCAGCGGCTGTGCCTGAGCTTGAATATCCCTGCGGGGTCCGGAACGAACCAGCTTTCCCACAAGTCGGCGTGCACGGTGCGGAAGTGCCAGGGCTTGTGCTGTCCGTCCCAGTGCAGCAGCTTCGCTTCCTGCAGGAAGTGCTCCGCATACCTGGCGTCAGGGCTCCAGCCTGCATGTGATTAGAGGACAGTAACAGGCGTTGGGGAAGCAGCTACAGGAGGCGTGGGAGTGCAAACGGGATCCAGGTTAGTGGGAAGACGCCAGGCCGAAGGGAGTGCTGCAGCCACCTCACCCCACCCCGCCAGTAACCCAGGGCCTTCTCCCGGGGTGCTGTCGTCCCACGAGTGTCCCTTCTGTGTGGTGTTGAGGTTTCTTCCCTTGAAAGGGAATTTAGTGAGATTTTATTTCTTAGTACCTAGAGGCCCGCTGAGTAGAGAGGACCCAAGCCAGGTTCGGTCTGCCACGGCTGGTACAGTGGTGACAGCTGAGCATCCGCTGGAGGCAGCAGTGTGGCAGCAGCTGCGGGGGAGGGCAGCCTCCCCCCAGAGTAACGAGACCCGAGTGACGCCTAGTGCGCGGTGAGTCCGGGAGGACGCTGCCTTGGAAGTCGCCTGTGCGACTTCGGCTTTGGGCTGAGGCTCTCACGTCTGCCGTCCCAGCACTCGGGTGGCTGGGGCAGGAGGGCGGTCGAGGGGGCTGGCTGGGTGCTGAGGTCAGGCCAGCCTCAACCGTGTAGTGAGACTGTCTTAAAACTACCTCGGAGGGGCTCTGATTTCGTGATAGCTTGTGTGTCCAGCTTAGTGTGGCTTGTTTGTTTTTAGACAGTCTTGCTATGCAGTTCAGGCTGGCCTTGAGCCCAGGCTAGTCTGGAACTCGCAACAATCCTGCCTCAGCATCCCAAGTGCTGGGGTCTCAGGCGTGCACCACCATGCCTGCCTAGAGTATGTCCTACAGGTTTTACACATATAACTTGTGGTGCTGGGGACTAACATCGGAGCCTCCCGTATGTGATTTGCAAAGTCTGCTCGTGTGGACCCATTAGTGGGAACTGCTTTTGGCGTCCAGAGCGCCCTGAAAGCAGGTGCAGTGGTTGCTGAGTGGGCCCTGCGGACCACACCTGACGCCCGACCTCGCCCGGCGTGGCTTCTTCCCCTCGGGGCTGTGCCTTTATCCTTGTCCAGAGGTTGAGTGTTTCCTGAAGAGCAATCCTCGCTCTGCATTTCTCCAACCTCAGCTTCACAGAGCCGCCCCTCCCTGACGTGGCCCAGAGCGCCCACACCTGGGGACTTACGTGTGTGAGAGGTTAATGACCACTTAGTGACAGACCACAAGGTGCAGGAGGGCAACATCCCTGAGTGGCTTCGTTTGGTTTTTGCAGGATGGGATTGAACCTAGGACCTTTGCACTGAGCTACATTTTTAAAAAATTAATTCTAAAAATTACTTTTATTTTCAGACAGGATCTCACAAAACTGCTAAGTTGCCCAGGCTGGACTTGAACTCATAACCCTTCTATCTCAGCCCCACACAGTGTGGGATGACAGATGTGTACCAGCACATTAAGCCCTGAGGGGGGGCGGGTGTGTATGCACACACATGCGCTCCCACCTGTGTAGGAAAGTCAGGAGGGCTCTGCTAACACCACGTACAGAACCCTCCAGACTGCTGAGCTGAGCATGTGCTGTGGCAGTAAAACTTTGGTTCCACTTGACACGTCACCTTTGTCAAAGCCTAGAACGCTGGACCAGACATAGAGCTCCGCGGCACAGCACCTGCCTGGGAAGCGTGAGAAGCTGAGTTCCATTTCCGGGGCGGGGGGCGGGGGGACATGATTTCCGGATTTCCTAACAGCTCTGGCCGGGAACATTGGATCCGGGCTTATGACTTCGGGTTAGGACAAGTGGGCCTCAGTGCTGGCCTCTTCTAGCAATCTGCACGTACTCTGTGATTTCTTCCATTCAGCTCACATGAGGAAACAGGCACAGAGAAGCCGAGCCACCCGCCCAGCCAAGATGAGCAGCAGCGGAGCGGGTTGACGGCCCACAGCGTACATGGGCGCGGCAGCTCGGTGGCGAGCACCTGCCCCGCACTATCGAGGCCAAAGTGAAAGCAAGTCCCGGGCTGGAGCCTGCAGCTGCCCACTGGGCCATGGTGCCACTCCGGGCTCTGCCAGCTGCAGGCCGCTGCAGTCAGTGTGGGCGCAGGGCCCATCTTAGCCCCACCCGCTGCCCGCCTGACGCTCCCTGCTGGTCCCCGCGGGGCTCACCCAGGTGCCGGATGTGCCACAGAGGATTGATGGTGGAATGCCTCCCGTGGAACACGATGAGCATGGGCGACGTGGCCACGCCACCCCCCAGCGAACTGCTGTACAGGTTTTCCCTGAGGAGAGAGCCACACAGTTGGCCTAGAGCACTTACAGGCCCAAGAGAGCAGTCACTGAAAGGGCATTTTTTAAAAATAATTTATTTTTTTTGGCAGAACCAGGGATTGAACTCAGCCCCTTGCACTTGCCAGCAAGCGCTTATTCTACTGAGCCATCTCCCAGCCCCTGAAGGGGCACTTTAAGAAGACATTCTTTGCACACTCAAACTTTGGACTTTTCATTTTTTCCCAAATTTTTATTTTGAAGATTGTCCAGCCAGGTGTGATGGCACACACCTGTGGTCCCAGCACTTAGGAGGCTGAGGCGGGAGGATTGCCCTCAGTTCGTAGCCTCCCTGAAGTACATATACATCAAAGAAGCCAAGCTTTGGTCAGGTATGGTGGTACCTGTAATCCCAGTGCTGGGGAGGCTGAGACAGGAGGCTCACCACAAGTCTGAACTGCAGTGAGACCCTGTACTGTATAAAAAAATAATCAAATACTAAAAATCTAAAGCCTTTTTGGCTTTACAAAATAGTCCTGTGTATGTGTGTGTGTATTTTAAGGAAGGGTGTTCAGGCTCTCACTACTAGATGGGACTCGTAGTATTCTCCTGTTTACAGCCTCCCAAGAGCTGGGATTACAGGCATGCGCCACCATGCCCAGTCACAATTGCCATCTCAGCCCACCCTGTTGGAGGGGGCAGCACTGCAGGCCCGGGATCGACCCTCCAGTCCCTGTGCCTGCTTGCAGGTGCTTCTATGCGCTGAGCTATTGGCCGGCCCCAAAATAGTCCTTAAAAACCAATTTTTGTAGGAAGATTTTCACTGAAAAAGGCACACTGAACAACTTCTTAAGAAGAGGTATAGGAAGTCCTTGACCCAGGGTCTCCTGTCCCCATCACTGGCAGGACCCTTCTAGGCCGTGCCCTTCCCGCGAGCTCGGGATTGCTGAGCACCCGCCCTGGGCGCTCCAGCATGCTGAGCCCCGAGGCAGGCAGAGGAGGCGCCTACCGCACATTCCTCAGCATCCATTTCTCCAGCTGCTTGGTGATGTGCTGCTGCCTCCACTCCGTCATGTTGGCCACCATCACTCCGGGGTTGAAGGAACAGGTGCTGGGGCTGATGCCCAGGTCCTTGATCGCCTTCTTCCGGTAGTCCAGGTAGCCCATGTATGTGTTCTGTGGGGGAGTGGGGTCATTTGTTTCAAAAAAGATTTTTTTATGCAGTTTAGGCTAGCCTTGAACTCACTATGTAGCCCAGGTGCCCTTGAATTTGCAGCAATCCTCCTGCCTCAGCCTCCCAATTACAGGCATGCAAAGTCATGTTTTTTGTTTTTAGATTTTTTTTCATTACAGATAGGTTGAAATTTTCTTATTTATAGCAGGTTAAAGAGATCTTTATCATTGAACAAAACTCGTATTTTCTAAGAGGGAAAAAAAGTTGGGTGTAGCTTTGCACACCTATAATCCCAGCACTCTGAGAGGCTGAGGCAGGAAGACCTCAAGTTTGAGGGCCCAATTTGGACAGTTTAACAAGACCTTTCCTCAAGTAGAAGGGGGTGGATCGCACCCCAGGTCAAGGAGCCCCCCAGACAGCACCACATCTAGCATTGAGCGTGGCGATGAACAGCGTAGCAGCTGCGTGTTCATGGCCAGCGCACTGTCATCTCAGCTCACGATGACACAGCCTGAGTTGCCCTTCAGGTGAGGAGAGTGGGACTTGGCCAGGTTGGGATTGAAGGTCAGAAGGGAGAGCCTCGCCCTCCCGGTGGCCGGGACCACAGTGCCCACCTGCAGCCCCACCAGCCTGCTGACATCCTGAGCTGCAGGCAAATCGCAGTCCCCTGAGAAAGCTGCTGCGTGGCCCAGAGCCAGGGTGGTGTCGTAGAGCTCCTGGATGTCACCTGGACAAGAATGTCAGCAGGTCCATGTTAGCGCACACTATAGTAGGGCCTTGGCGCTTAACCATCCCTGACCTCGCTGTGGCGGGCGGGGAAGGCCCTGAGGTCAAGCTGCCTGGCAGTTTGACCATAAGAGTTTGTGCCAGCCAGGGTGGTGGCGCACGCCTGTCATCCCAACACTCAGAGGCTGAGGCAGAAAGATCCCTGGGTCAGGCCAGCCTGGGCTGCACATGGGACCACGTCTACAAAAACCACCCGCTGGGTCACCAAGCATAGCATTGAAACTACTTCACACTTCTTTTTGGTTTTCTTTGGCTTTTTTTGAGACAGGGTCTCACTCTGCAGCCCACTGTGTAGCCTCCGCGGCGCTGAGTTGCCAGGTATGCACCACCGTGCCTCGCTCTGCATGCTGTGGCGTTCTAGGGAAGGACCCGACTCCCAACCTGTTACTGCAGACTTGATCCTCAGAAGGTGGCCATCGGAAAGCAGCTGGCCGACCAGGGACCCTCCAGCCCTGCTCTCAGGGCTGCCCCACATGTCTGCCCGGCCTGTGTTCACTGCTGTCCTGAGCACAGAGTGCTCCGCAGAGAGTGGACACTGCCGCCCTGCCCCTCGGCTGCCTCATCCCCGTGTGCTGGCCCAGATGAGTGTACCTTGCACAATGACATCATCGTCCAAGTAGATGACTTTCTCATGCTGGTGGATCAGCAGAGGGAGGTAAAATCGAACGAAGTTCAGCTATTAACAGAAGACGACATGAGTGGGGGAGAGGCAGATGCTCCAGGTGTCCTGCAGGGACGGGACATGGGCCCTGACCACAGCCACAGCTCCGCATTCGGAGGGGACACTCCCGGCACTAGGGGAAGGGACCGCACTAGGAGGTCCTGGCACCTCTGCATCCTCTGCACATTTCCCCTGCAATGCCACAGGGTCCCGAGGTTCCCTGTCACCAAGCTTCTTGGCCCATCTTTAGGAGGCAGCCTGCCTGGCTCCCCCACGTCAGGTCACAGTGACACCACCACCAAAGCAGCTCATGCACACCTCTGCACGCAGTCCCATCACGGCTGTCACCGACCTTTTAGCTCCTCTGTGCTGAAGAAGGTCGGGAGCGTGAAACAGTGACAGCACCATGCCACCACTCCCATTCGGCTTCGGGCCGCCGAGAAATATCTGCAGCCGGGAAATAATGCGGCCCGGCCCTCGGCGCTGAATGCAGGGCACGCGGCCGGGCACGTGGCAGCCTAGGGCTGGGGGTGTTTTCCTGCTGCCGCCCGGCTCTCACCCGAGACGTGCACACGTGTCATGCAGCCTACTTTTTCCTATTTCTTTTTCTTTTGAGACAGTCCTGCTACGCAGTTCAGGCTGGCCCTGAGCTCACTGTGTGCATCGTCCCAACGCCTGCCGGACCATATGACTGCCACTCACGGGCTGGAGCAAGTCTGGCCTCGACGAGTCTGGTCTGATCTTTCCCTCAAGGACTGTAGGGTTGAATTCCACGATTTTAAAGTTAATTTCTCTCAGTTTGGAATGTTCGATCCATTTCCTAAAGAGACAGTAAGAACACACTTCAGAGCTCCTCAGTTCGCCCAGGGCCAATCTACTGCTGCTTCGACTGAAAGGGACGTGTGTGTAAACATAGCAGGGCTTAGTCTGTGGCTCCTGATCTTTCCCATCTGTCTGGTCTGGCTTCAAATTTTTCTTCCCCTCAAGCCCCCCCCCCCCCATTACATAACTTTCTGCAGAGGAGATAAAGCGAAACAGTAACCAAATATCTCCTCAGATTCAAATATTCTTCCCAGGAAACTGAAAGAACAAAAACAAAAAAAGTGTCCCTTTTTCTTTATAAAGCAGTGTGCAGAGCTGCCAGAACTTCCTTTGCCATATGGTACCAGCTCTAAAACCCTACGAAGTGGGACGTTCTGAACCTTCCACTTCGGTCATTTTTATTCTGCTGTGAATTTTTGTTTGTTGGGAGGGCCGGGGAGATAGCTCAGCAGTATAAGCGCCTGCCTGGCAAGCACAAGTTCATGAGTTGAATTCCCAGTAATCCCCTCCCCCACCCCCCAAAAAAGAAAGCTATTTGTTTGTTGGGTTTGGTTTGGCTTGGTTTGGTTTTTGCAGTACTAGAGCCCGAACTTGGGGCCTTCACTCTGAGCTACATCGCCAGCCCATTTTATTATTTTGAGACAGGGTCCCACTGTGTACCCCAGGCTGGCCTCAAGCGTGTCATTGTCCTGCCTCAGCCTCCTAAGTAGCCGGGATTATAGGCGCGCACCATCACACCCAGCCATTTTCTCAATTTTAAGGAACCTCTTTTACCCAATTCATAGGGAAAGTGTTGGCAGAAACAATCTCAAAACAAAATTTCCAGGGATTAAAACCACACGTGGTTGCCTTTGTATTTTAAAATTAAGAAAAAAGGGCAGGGGCTACAGCGCAGTGGTGGAGTACTGCTTAGCCTGTGTGAGCTGCTGGGTTTTATCCCTAACGCTTCAAAAAAAATGTTTAAACCTGAAAAAAATTTAAATCTCTAAAATTTGAGCCATAAAAATCAGTCATATCAGTAAGAAAAAACAATAGCCAACCTAGCAAAAAATTGGCAAGAGAACTGAACACACATTTCCAAATGCCAAAGAAATGGGCATGCAACTGTGTCAGAAATAAGGAACTGGAAGTTAAACCCATGCTTGAGCCCCTCAGGATATGAAGAGAAAGGACTAACAATACCAAGTGTCGGTGAGGATACAGGGTGGTCATACGAGCACACTCCGTGAGGAACACAACTTTCTGTTTTTGTGTTCAATAATGACAGCTTAAAATATGGAGGTGGGAGTGGACTTCAGAGCCAAGAATTGGGAAGAAGGCCCTGTGGGGTTTTTTGTTGTTGTTGTTTTTTCTTGTTTGTTTCTTGCCCTGTGTTTTGTTTGTGGACCATTTGTATTTTTTCCTATGAACTAGCAGTTCTTTTTTTTTTTCTTTTTCCCCAGGGTTGGGCAGCAAACCCAGGGCCTCACTGTCTTTGCATATTCTATGTTCTTTTTTTTTTTTTTTTTTTTTTTTTTTTTTTTGTATTTTTTCGTTTTTTTTTTTCTTTCTTTTTTAGACAGGGTTTCACAATGTAGTGCAGTAGGCTGTCCTGGAACTCACTTTGTAGTCCAGGCTGGCCTTGAACTCATGGTGACCCTCCTGCCTCAGCCTCCTGAGTGCTGGGATTACAGGTGTACACCACCATATCCATCTTCAAATTTAACTTTTAGTATGGATTATGATAGTAAAATTCAGCTCAAAAGTATAATTTTGCAGTTCCAAATGGTACTGTAGGAGCAGGGTATGGTGGCACCTGCCCATAATTGCAGCTACTTGAGATGTTGAGACAGGAGGATCCCAAGTTGGATGCCAACCTGGGCAATTTGGTGAGACTGTCTCAAGATAAAATAAAAAGGCCTGAGGTTGTATCTCAGTGGCAGAGGTTATGATTAGTATGTGCAAGGTCATGGGTTCAATACCCAACATCAAAAAATTTTAAAAAAAGAATGATATACATAATTACTCAAAGCCATATTAAGATAGTTAAATTATGTGAATATTCTCTCAGGTTAAGAAAAGGAAGCGCAGAGCAGAGAAACATTTCCTAGACTTGCATAAGCACTGCATTAGAGCTGGCTCCTTCAGTTTGCCAAACAATTCACTTCTCTAGAGTGGCACACACGTGGTAGACGAATGCACCTCTGCTCACCTGTCCTTGGAGGGCGATGCGTTTGCCAGGACCCCAGCCCATCTTCAGGACAAGCCCTGTTAATTCTTACACACTCATCCATCCAAAGAGGAAGGGACTCACTCAGCGAAAGGATTAAAAGAGAGCAGAAAGCTCAAAAGACGCTGTGTGCACTACCGAATTCGAGACAGAGTGTTCCGGAGCCCGACCACGTAGAACACGATGTTGGCGTCTGTGTTGCTGTAGATGCTATTGATGGCGGCCATGGTGGCGCCCATCCTCCCAGCTGCAGCACAGATCACCACGGGGATCTCATCCTCCATGTCCTCAGGGACCTCCGAGTCCTCATCTGCAGACAAGAGCACTGTCTTGAGACAGGAAGGGACTTCACTGCACAGCAGATTAACTCACCTTCCATAGTCTTGGGGGAGGACAGCAGTGTGGGAAGAGGCTGACTTTGTTCACCCAGCCTGTCCTTTCCTTGGGAAAGAATGGGAGCCCTTCTGGCCAGGGGGATGGTTCAGTGGAATAAGCGCTTGCTTGGCAAGCGCAGGGGCTTGAGTTCAATCCCTGGTTCCGAAAAAAAAAAAAAAAAATGGAAGCCCTTCAGCTAGCACAGGGCCAACCACTAAAACTTTTCCCAGACTCCCTTGCAGCTATGTGTGATGCGTTCTGACAAATGACATGCCAGTTCAAGCAATCTGTGCAACTACTCGGTCTGCCCTTTGAAAGAATGACTGCACTCCCCAGAAGAATTCTGATCTGGATGATGACAGAATGGACACATCAGATTTCCATTTGAAATAGTATTTAAACTTCTAAGTCCCAGTTATTTTGGCATTCTCTACAGGAGCCAATCTAAAACACACACACAGAGAGAGAGAGAGAGAGAGAGAGAGAGAGAGAGAGAGAGAGAGAGAGAGAGAGAGAAATATATGAAGAATTAAAAGTCTCATGCTGTGCCTAACTGTTCCTTGAATCAGAGTAGGAGTCAGCTTTCCTACATTTCTACAAAACACTGCTTGTGATTTTCTTTCCTTCACACTCTAGGAAAGCTCTTGAATGCTGACAGCAAGAGAAAGATAATGAAAAGGCAAATGCAAGATGAGCCACAGATTTACTCTTTTCAGCATTGAAAAGAGTAAACATCAACGCCAAAACACTGTAACAGCATCCAGCAGTGGAGAATAATAATAATAATTAATAATAATAACCCATGTATAAAATACTATCAATGGCATTTGATTTTTTTTTTTTTTTTTGCGGAACCGGGGATTGAACTCAGACCCTTGCGCTTGCCAGAGAAGCGCTTATTCCACTGAGCCATCTCCCCGCCCCCCCCCTTTTTTTTAAGACCCTGGGTTTGCCAGGCAAGTGCTTATTCTACTGGGCTATCTCCCCAGGCCCCATGGCACTTGATTTTTACTTAAAACTTAGAACTCTGTCTCTCTTTACAGACATCTTTTTTTTTTTTTTCTTTTCAAAACCTCTGTCTATATCTCTCAGGCCCAAGGTGGCTCTGCCTGGTATTCGATTCCACAAGAACTCACAGAAACTCACAGCCAGGCCCTGCGATTTGTGTGACGTCCCTGCTACAGCTTTTCACCAGCTTGGTAGCATCTGCAGTCTCCACCCCAGTGAGCCTTTGCTCTCATGATACCTTTCCTGACACGAGGGAATGGTCCTAAGGTTGCACTACTGGGGGAAAGAATACAAAGTTCTCCTCAGTGTTTGATCCCAATGTATGTAAAATACTTGCAAACGAACCTGTGTCTGCTTATGCAATTATCTAGAGTTTTTTTTTTTTCTAAATTTTGTTTTGTTCTCTTCCATTTTCCAAATTCTCTAAAGCAACCAAATTCTCTTTGTAATTCAGGTTGGCCTCAAGCTTGTGACATTCTTCCTGCCTTTGCCTCCTGAGTGCTGAAATTACAGGCATGTGTAATTTCGCATGACCCATGATTTATTTTTACAAACAAGCCAAACAATGTTTCTTAAAGACTATTCCTTTGGGGTGACTTGTCCTTTCGTAGAGGGCACCTGCAGGCATGGGCGTGGTCTCCCCAGTGCAGTGTGCCCGCGCTCTTTGGGGAGCAAGTTTTCCGTGGCTTACACGAAGCCCCTCGCGATGCAGCCCTGCTCCCTCCCGCATGCTCGCCTGCTCTGCTCCAGCCACGCTGTGGTCGAGCTGCCGTGGTTCCCCGGGCCCTGGGCCAAGTGCTCTCTGCAGTGCTGTTCCTGGCGTGGGGGCTGCTCTTCCACCCTCGCCCGCCCAGCTGACTACCCGCAGGCCAGACCCTCTCCTCCTGCGCCAGGCCTCAGCGGCTCCAGACACCAGGCCAGGCACTGTCTGGTCTGCACCGGCTGAGCCCTGCTCGCAGGGGGATTATCGGCCGAGCTGCGCGCGTGCCCTTCCCTCCCCGACCGCACCCGAGCTCTGCAGGAGGCGGCGGCATCGGGTCTGTCTCCGGTTCCTCCGCATTCTGCGCGGAGAGCCGGCCGGTGAGGTTGTGAGGGCTTGCCACGCGCCGCTGGGAGCTTATTTACACGTCCGCCTCCGGCTGGCTGTGAGCTCGCGCGGTTGTCCCCGCCGGTCGGGCACTTGGAAACGCTTAGGAAAGCTAGCTGAAGGGAGCAGAGTGCGGGGCGGCCTCAGGGCGCAGGCCTGCGGGAGCTTTGCGGACTGGCGCAAGGACACGAAGGCGGCCGCAGAGCGGGGGCGGAGCCTGGACCCCAAGCCTGGAGCGCGACCCGCAGCAGGTAGCGGGAGGGGTGGCCCGGAGGAGGGGGTCCCCAGGAGAGCGGCCCCCCAGAGAAGATCAAAGGTGTGTGGAGGTGATCAAAATGCATCGTGAAGGGGCCAGGGAGATAGCGCAGCAGAATAAGCACTTGCCTGGCAAGCGCAAGGGCCGGAGTTCAATCCGCGGTTCCGGAAAAAAAAAAAAAAAATCGGGAGTGTTAGTTAACGTTGAAAAAGTCTATTACAGTAAAAGCCACCTTTTCATGAATCCCCTGCAAAATGCTCCCCCTCACTTCAGACACGCTGGTCCATGGTTCTCGCCGCTTTCTGCAGAGCTCTGGGGTCCTCTTCCCTGAGTGTCTTTACAAGATGTGATTTTAAAAAAAATACAGTGGCTGCCGCTGCCAGGTGCCCTCCGGGGAAAAGGCAGCTTGCAGACTCACGACAGCGTGTCTTCCTCATTCCCTGGATCTGGCCCCATGTGACTTCTGGCTGCGCCCCAAAGTCAAAATGACCGGGAAAGGGAAAGATCTCGGATCTGTTCAGAACCTCAAGGCAGCCAGGACAGCACAACTAGAGACACTTGCAAAAGAGGGCTCCAGAGCCGCTGCTGGAGGTGGTGGAAGGTGGGCTGCGTGTGTTTGAAACGAGGGGAAGATTTGGGGGAGACTCATGGGAATGTCTTTTTTTTTTTTTTTTTATACCAGGAATCAAACTCAGGACCTCGTGCTTGCCAGGCAGGCACTTGTGCCACTGAGCTACATCCCGGCCCGCACTGTCTTTTTTT